ATTTAAGTACTCACTTCCGGTATCGAAAATTGAAATTTTGTGTTCATTTTGGTATCGAAATAGGTATCGGTATCGGCCGATACCGATCTTAAAAGTATCGGTATCGGTATCGAATTAAAAATCCTGGTATCGCCCATCACTACTTCCGTGTGCCTTATTCTGTGCCTTTATCCGTACATCCGTTGTCCGCATCCGCATATTTATACAAGAAGTATAAGAATCTTCCTTATATGGGAAGATGCACCAAATAAGGAAGTTTACGTAGCATTCTGTGGCATCAGGCATGTGTGTGTGTCGCCATTCACCAATCGCCATTGTTGTGTTCTGTTTCGAACATTCTGCAATAAAAATATAAAGAAAAATGCCTCCATTTCATAAAGAGCAGTTGCGAAAATTGTTTATTGGGGGTTTAAACTTGGATACGACGGAGGAAAGCCTCAAAGATTATTTTTCTCGATGGGGGGAGACAGTAGACGTCGTTGTGATGAGATTCCCCGATACGAAAAGGTCGAGAGGATTTGGGTTTGTAACCTATGAAAACGTTGAATCAGTTGATGCTGTGTTGATTGCGAAGCCACATGTACTCGATGGAAAGGAAATCGAACCAAAGCGGGCTGTTGCTAAAGATGAAACAGCACAATCGTCTAGGCAGGAAGTTGAAAGTTCCCACAAGATATTTGTCGGGGGTTTAGCGAGCGCCACAACTGAGGAAGACATCCGAAATTGCTTCGATAAATTCTGTGAAGAAGCTGGCCATGGCAAAGTGGAAGAGATTTTGGTCATGAAAGATAGAGACAGCGATAGACTTCGCGGATTTTGCTTCGTGACTTTTGATAGCAAAGAGATAGTTGACAAGGTATGTTCTGTGAAGTATTTTGAAATAAGAACAAAAACTGTCGAGGTTCGTCGCGCCGAATCAAGAATGGCGATGATGAAGAAAGAGCAAAGAGATTATGGCTATACCAGACGACAGTTGGATGATCGAAGAAGAGACACGCGCGATAGTTATCAAGGTGGGTGTTTATACTGGATTTAGCAAATTAACCATTTTCTCAATATATGCACACCCCTGCCCTGAACTAATGCATCAGTCAATTCCAGCTGCGACCAGGGGTAGGGCAAATGCCCAGGGGTAGGGCAAAAAAAAGGAACAATGCCCAACCCCCGTGCCCCACCCAACCCCCGTGCCCCAGACTGGAAAGTTTGGAAATTGCGCGTGGGAGACTTAGAAAATTTAATAGTAAATATATAGAAAGCAACAAAAGTGCGCGGGGGATTTCTCCCCCGCACAATACAAACTTTCCACACTGGCCCGTGCCGACAAATTAGTTAATTTGAAAGAATGTCCTAAATTAATTACATGCGTTTTAACAATTTATATTTATATCTTTGTTCATTGTTCTTTTGGGGTTTTTAAAAAAAAAACAGGGAAAACTATTGTGTTCACTTCAGATGAAAACATCGACGAAAGGCTGTGACACACTTGCTTTTATTGCAGAAAGTTTTTCATGGTCTTAATATTACTGGAAAAACAAGACAGCCTACCTTTAAATATGTCCACAAGTTTATCTAGGCCTTTCGTCTGCCAAGACTCAACAAAGCTCTCGTTTGTCTTTGCCTGTAAAGTCGTCCATTTTGGCATACGACAAAGGAAACTGGTGGCCGCGGTCTTTTCTCTGTGAGCTACAAATGCCCGGGGATAATAACCCGATATTGACAAATCCCCGGGTGAGCATGCAGCTGCAAATGCCCGGCCGTGGGGACAAGTAAGTGTAAAAATGCCTGACAATGTCCTTGGGGGGGGGTGATCACAGCTGGAATTGACTGATGCATAACCTTAAACCAACATAGAGCTGTAGTAATTGCCTCTCGAGGAGTAAAATTTTCTAGTGTCACACACATATTATTTGCCATTGGTGGGGACCCTGGGGACCTGTGCAAGGTGTGTGATACCCTGATTGAATAAAAAGCCTGCAACAATCTCAAGGACATTTGGTATTTCACAGCCATGAGAGGACGTGTAAATCCTATTGGCTAAAGTTATATATGCCAAAATATGCATAAATTATAGAACCATCTGTGGCACAATGTATAATTATACGCTTTCAATAAAAGCGTATGTTTTTGAAAGAGTACTGTGAATTTGGGTTCCAAACTAAAAACTGAACAGCTGCAAATCGTTAAGATGTTTTGGCAGGTTTTCTCGTTGGATATCTGCCTTGACAAGTTGAAGAGCATGGATACAAACACATGCACGTGTTGGACCATTGGTATTTCTCTAAATAATACAGTGGCTATACCCAATCAATTTGAAATACTGATTGACTAAATATGTATCCTATTAAAGTTTGGAATACATGTCGCTTTATGCATTTATGAAATGTACTACTCGATCTACAAACGTTTATTTTATGTTATTATTAAACTGTGGCGATTCCATACTTTATTTATTTAGAGTTTTACAGCAGACTATATCTACAAACTGCAGTGCAATTTAGCTTGTATTGTGTTATACTTTTAGAGTTTGTTATTGTAAAATTTGTAAACATTTATACTGTTCAGTCGTTGCAATTTTGAAACATATTGATTTCGCTCATAGCTGGCCATATTTTGTTTGATTTTGAAATTTATTGTAAGGTTTGGAGCTAAGATGGTATTGTCTTCCTTTTGATATATATATTTTTGAGTTGCCGTTCATTATTAATACGTAAATTATTGCTCGAATTATTGTATTTTTGAGTCTATATTTAGACCATTCTGACATATTAATAGTCAGAGTAAAATATTATATGTAGCACACATTCTACAATCAGTTGAAATCAAAATATCTTGCTTGATCTACAAACTGAACCTGTTAAGGTGCAAAACTCATGTTTACAAGTAAAATCGCCTTGGCAATTTAGAGTACAATGTGTAGTAATGAAGATTCCTGGTAGATTGACACCAAAGTATGGATATTGAACCAAGTTGTATTGAGAACTTGGCCTCACCTTAGGACAGTTTTTCACTTTACGTAAAGAAATTAAATGCACCATTGTGCCGGAAAGTATGCATGAAGATAACTGCTGAAATTTCAGTATTTTATGTCAACAAATGTTTCAGATTCAGGCAGAATGCGAGGCAACAACTTTGGTTCCAGTTTCAATCAAATGTCAATGCAAGGATCTAATTCTGGTGGCATGCCTTTCTTTGGTGGAGGTTCTCGTGGAGGTTGGTTGTAGTTATAGATAGTTAGTTCTAATTTTATTTAAAGTGGGTGGCATTTAAAAATTAAAAACAGTGGGTGGCAAACTTGTGGGGAAATAAGTTTTAGGGGCTGATTACATTTAGTGATTTCAGCTCAGCCGAGATTCAGCCCAGCTACCCAGGCTGAAAATTCAGCCTGGCTTTGACAAGAAGAAAAATACTACAATTGACTCGAACATTCCTTTTGTTCCATCTCATCCCATCAGTCAATAACAAGACATGTCAGACTTACACATAATTATACCTACTTAAGGTAATTCCGCAGTAATTGTTCCCGAAATGAGAATGTGCTGAAACTTCCCAGGCATGGAGTTTGTGATATACTTAAAGTAAAATCACACAAAAAAGTTGGGGTCACCGAACTCGTTAAGAAGATATGACAATCACAATATACTACCTTTACCCCAACATGGTGCCATCTTGACGCTCATTACGAGTAGCAGCAAAATCACAACAGCCCGATATTTATTGACGTTTTTAGTGCGGATTTTGCTCTAGTAAACCTATCTTGTAATTATTTTTGAAAAAATATTGTGTTTTGAGCAAAATGAAACTACTAATGTGTACAATTCTGATCCACAAAATGTCTTTCCCACATTTCTTTACATATCTTTCTTTGAGAACATGCATTGATCTTTATCAATGCATGTTCTCAAAGAAAGATATGTAAAGAAATGATCCAGAAATGATTTTTCAGAAATGTAAAGAAATGATCAAGATCCAGAAATGATTTTTCTTTTAATTTCCGATAGGAAATGTAAAATGCATGAAAGAAATAAATTATCAGTTAAAAAATGGGGCCACCGATCTTTTTAGGGAATTGTGGCATTAAAACGTGAAATACAAGTAAATAAATATACTACAGACACCGGGAACCCTAGCTACACTTTTGTATGCCTTTTTTGAAAACATTGATTTTAACGTAATTCTTTGCACGAATGTAACCAAAGATTTAAAGTTTGTTTGTTCACTGCAACCAGGTATACCAGTCATGTTTCGCTTGCTACTCTGGTTTAAATAAATGATTACAAAGCCCAGTCAAATTGTAATCAAGACCCAACGTTTCGACACTCCAGTCTAGTGTCTTCATCAGGGGTGATCTAAAATTGCAATTGTGGCTTCTTAAATACCCAAGGGATGACGTTACCTGCCAATGAGATGCATATATTCCTCTGGCAAATAGGCACCGTCATTCCTATTCAAAGCATGATTACTCATATTTATATGCCACGCTTCTAGGCAAAGTCTTTGGCCATAGCGATTGTTTGTGGTAATTACTTTAGAGTTTTCCCATGCAATCTTGTGTTAGGTGTAACATACGTGTTCGACTAAAGCTGATGTTCCCTTGTCTAAAGTTGAAACAGCCTTTTGATGTTCTTTTAGCCGTGTACCAAACTGGCATTTTGACTGACCCAAATACTCTTTATCGCAGTCACCGCATGGTATAGAATATACAGCATGAGTTTTCTGATTTGTTTTAACAGGATCTTTTGGCTTTGCAAAAATATGGCCTAAAGTCAAATAGGGTTTTAAGGCAACCTTAATATTACAATTACTTAAGATTCTCTTGATTGGTTCTGTGACACCTTGAATGTATGGAACTATTGCATAACCCTTAACAGAGGTATCACCCTCGGAGTTATTTTGGTTCCTTAAACCAATGTTCCTTAAACCAATTTGGTTCCAATATGTAGCCACATATGAAAAGTTATACAGCAGTGATGGACTACCAAAACGTTTTCTTAATGATTGCCTGAGATCACCTGTTTGTAGGAACCAAAATAACTCTGAGGGTGATACCTCTGTTAAGGGTTATGCAATAGTTCCATACATTCAAGGTGTCACAGAACCAATCAAGAGAATCTTAAGTAATTGTAATATTAAGGTTGCCTTAAAACAATCAGAAAACTCATGCTGTATATTCTATACCATGCGGTGACTGCGAGAAAGAGTATTTGGGTCAGTCAAAACATCAGTTTGATACATGGCTAAAAGAACATCAAAAGGCTGTTTCAATTTAGAGATCGGAAGAGCGATCGGAAGA